TTGATTGGCTGGGAGCCGGCTTCCCAGCCAATCAGCATGGAGTCGGCTTCCCGGGCCAATCGGGAAGTCGGCCTAGTCATTATCCACTACCCAGCTTAATGATTGGACAGAAAGCCGGCTCCATGTTATCTTGTGGTACTACCGGTCAGAGGGAACTCTGACTGGAAGTTCTGGTCACAGGGTAGGTATAGCACATTTGGGTGAGTACAAGTACTTGCCCAAATACTCAGTATCAGCACCAATACTGATACTAGTATCAGTGCATCCCTAATCCTATCGCATTTTCTCACCTTTTTTGTTTTTTGTGTCTTTTGACTGACACTGTTAATGTGGTAATGACGAACACTATGAAGAGAAATCCCACTACAGCAGCCAGTCCAACTGTGGCCCGGAACATAACATCAGGTAAACCATATTTTGGGGGATCTGAAAAGAAAGAAGGAAAACACAGATTAGTTTAGGGCTGCAACAACTAATCGACATAAGCGATTATAATCGATGAGTGAAAAAGTTGTTTCAATCATCGATTAATCGGCTTCTGATTAGTTGGCCCTGTTCATGGCTCCACACACTCTGCGTGCCGCACCTCCTCCTCACCTCATGCCTGCCTCTGCCAGACCCGCATCCACACGCCGCACCTCCTCCCCGCCTCACGCTCACCGCCCGCCCACATCCACCATTGGCACAGGGACGCGGAGAGAAGAAGTAAGTAGGAGCAGGTGCGGGGGGATGACAGCCGCCCGATAGACAGGCCCGATCTCAGAAGCAAGTTGCTGGAAGACTGCTCAGGTAAGCCTGCACTTCCCACACATAGTGCTCTATAATGTATTGCTGGGATTTGTATTCCTCTATAGCTGATGGTACATTGTGCTGTATATTATACATAGGAATACAAATCCCAGCAATACAATTTTCACTGTATGTATAATGTATTGCTGGGATTTGTTGTATTCCTATATAGCTTGTGGTATTCTGCATTGCGCTGTATAGAGGACTACAAATCCCAGCAATAATACATTATACAGCGCAATGCGGAATACCATCAGCTATAGATAAGTACAACATATCCCCGCAATAATACATTATACAGTGGTGCAATGCCGAATACCACCAGCTATAGAAGACTACAAAAAACCAAGCAATAGTACATTATACAGCACAATGCAGAATACCACCAGCTGTAATGTATTATTGCCGGAATTTATTGTATTCCTCTATAGCCGGTGCCATTCTGCATTCATTGCTGTATAATTTTACACTTTTCATTTCACTATATTGCACACCACACTTTTTTTTTTTCTTTTTTACTTCCACCGCTCCAAGCTTGCTCCTGTGATGGACTACAATCTCAATACAAAATAGTAGTCCCATCACTGGAGCCATTTTTAAAAATGTATTTTATTTTTTATCCGATTAACTGATTATTCGCACTTAATAATCGGCTAACTAATCGATTATGAAAATAATCGTTAGCTGCAGCTCTAGATTAGTTGACTCAATATTATTACTTTCTGCATTTAAAAAGGTTTTATTTAAAAAATAAAACTAGAAAAGAAAATAGCTGGAAAGCTGGCCAGTGATATTAAAGAAGAACTCCAGGAAACTGAAACCATAAAGTGGACCTTTACCCCCTTTCACTAAAAATCACATCATCTCTTCCCCCCCTTCACCCCTTCTTTTCTCCTTTTTTTTTTCCTCTCTCCTTTTTTCCTTTAACCCTGTGAAGCCTGCAATAATGCGTTTTTGAAAAACACTGAATTGATTTTGTTAGCATTTACATGTAAATAATGTAATTTGAAATACCCTTCTGTACTATCTGTTTGATGCATTGTGTAAACCTTCAAAACACTTGAAAAAATAAAATAAAGAATTTATAGAAAAAAGAAAAAAAAAATCACATCAGCATGCAGCATGCTTACGTTCATCTTACGTTCATTAGTTAAACAAACGGTTTTCTTGCCTAGCAAATTGCAGCAAAGTAAATCCACAGCGAATCACTGAAATCTTTATATAGGAACAGTGGATTGTGCTTACACCTGCAACAGATCACCATAACTCCAAGTGAGATGATAAGGTACATGATACCCATGAAACATTTTCAAGCTCTTTTGTGGTGGGATGTCAAAGTGTTGTACAAAGAAAAAAACGTGACAAGGACAAAGAAAAAAACAAATCTACACCTCCGGTCTCAAACAGCGGGGTCAGTAAGATAAATTAATAAACGGACAATGCAATTCAGGAAACATTGTTTCTGGGTTAAAATCAGATATTCTGCTGAATTTATCTTTATTATGGATTAGATACGATCCTTTATAGGCAGATCTATAGGCTCTTTTCACATGATGTTTAGCTGAGCAACCTGGCTCCCTTGCCCTGTTTTGGGTGGTCATGGTTGCTGTGCTCTCAGATGTTCTTCTCAGGAAAAATGTACTTGTCTGCATTTATAGCCATTCCAGGGATGTAGCCAGCCAGGTGCCATCAACAGCAGGTTGAAATTGAAGCCTTCAGCACACTGTCCCCTGAATGAGTTTAATTACATCATTTTTATTCAACTGTCCTTAGTATGCTGATCATCTTCTGGTTGGCCACTTGCTGGTTGTTCTTCTGCTGCTGGCTGGTTTTCTACTAGTCATTCTCCTGCTGGTCCGTGGCTTGTTCTTGTGACTCTTCCTCAGCCATTCTATACTCCCAGAACCTTATGCACACTGCCCTGACTAATCTTTGTTACAAACTACAATTTTTGTCTTCTGATTTTATACTGATACTTAAGTATTTCTGGACTTCTGACCCTGTCACTCGTCTGGTTTTGTATCTGCCCATCTGGTTTTTGACCATAGATAGGTCTGTCCCTATCTATGTAGTATCCGATTCGGTGGAACTGTGTTTGTTTCCCTGGCACTGACATGGCCAGTCTAAGCTGTTCGTTAGGGCTCTTTGCCCTACTCTCCATTTGAGAAATCAAGTCAGCACATATATCCTGTAGGAATTCAAGTATAGTGAAAGTATACTAAGTTTAGTGAAGAACACTGAAGCAGTGTTCATCAACTGTTAGCTGTGCACATAGCCTTATGGTCCCCTTTAGGAAGCATGATAACATCACATTAAAGTGTAACTCTACTTATGTTAAGAAGAAAACCCTCTGAGTGATCAATGTACATTGCAAGGATCTCAATGGACAGATTCCTTCCTTGTTCTGTAGAGAATTTTTTTTTTATCATGTCGTTTCCAGATTGACCTTTCCTAAATGGGAGGGTCTGGGTTCATTATAACCACTTGGTGCTTTTTCGGTGTTCTAATGCGGAAAGTTTCAGTTTCTGCATTCTTTTAGAAGTAGTTAGCCCTTAGGGATCATCTCACCAAAAATGTAATTTCTATTGCAAGGGGTGCCTAAAATTCTACTTGTATCTTGGTGCACCTGAGAAAATCAGTAAGCCAATCAAGCAGGAAATGACATTTCTGAGGGTATTCCATACACCAACAGTGTACAGGTCGCCCTCAGGTTGGCATATTGCATTACATTTTTTGAAAGGTTTTAGAAAATTACAGAGGCTTTAGACTGAAATTGAAAGGTCATTTTTAATAACATTAAATTACAAAATGGTTTGTGTAGCATCAATATACTATATTTTTTAATGAAATAAGTATTCCTTTAAGCAGCTGCAGAATTAAAGTGATATTAAAGCCTAACTTTTTTATTTTATTTCTCCTTTAAGGAGACCCTCCTTTGCTGGAGGGTGTTTACTTTTATCCCTTAAAAGTGCCTAATTCCTTGTTTTCTAGTGGCTCCCCGCAGCGCACTTCCCCCCGCCCCCTGCACGGGTGCCACCATCGTTCTAATGGAGGCACCCGTGCGCGCTCGTCCCCGCTCGTTTCCGCGGTGGCTGTGTGCGTCCATAGACACCCACAGCCCTGTGGCAGGCCACGCACCTTCCCTCTTTGATTGATGGAAGAAGGAGCCTATGGCTCCTCTGCCATCAGTATCCTCCCCCCGCAACCCGGAAGTTCGGGGAACGGAGGATGTCTTGGGACCGGCGGCGTGTGTAGGGGACTGGGGTAGAAAAAAAGGTGCTGGGCCGTTTTTACCCTAATGCAGAGAATGCATTAAGGTAATAAAAAGGCCCACACCTTTACATTATTTTCCTTGGTGTTTCCTGCTTGCTCTGTACAGCACTTTCTTCCCCATCATGCAAAAACTACCTGGTAATCCTGCAAGAAATCTAGTGATCTGAAAACGTCATGTGGTCTCTGCTGACTATTATCAGTTACAGTTTCTTGCTCTATCTGTGGTCTGCAAAATACCTTCTCCTTAGGCTATGGAGACAAGGATGTGTTGTGTAGTTTTATAAAAAATAATGCTCGTACTAGGGTGACATTGCTGCATACATACTTTACTTTGCATACATACTTTAAAGTGAATTAGTGTTGTCACCCTAGGAAAGAAAGAGGGGAATTTATCAAAGCAGGAGCAGACAAAATCTGGAGCAGTTTCCCATGGCAACCAATCAGCTTCTCTCTTCAGTTTGTTGAGAGAAGCTGATTAGTTACTGTGCACAGCTGCTCCAGAATTTGTCTGCTCCAGTTTTGATAAATTCCCCCCAAAGTGTATTACTGGCAGGATCAGGTAAAAATAAAGGAAAAAAAGCAATAAAAAAAGAAAGCAAATGCAGCCACCACATCTAAGGACGGGTAAGCTACAATGTATTAATTTGTTGTTCAGATACAACTTAGAGATAATTGCAACTAAGTACTGCCTGGCTGTCTCGGGCGTCAACCATAATGGATCTGCCACTGTACTAAAAGCGTCTTTTATAAAATAAAAAAAAATATGGCCTACATCATCACACTGATAATTATGGCAATTTTAATGTAGTGAAAGAAGTTATAAATTTTTAATGATATAATACTGTAAATTGAGCATACCTGTATCATTTTCAATGTTTGAGAGTAGCATGTTTCTTGTCACATCCAATGATCCATCGTGTACTTCTGGTGTGATTCCTAACAGCTTGCACATTAATGCATAAACGTGAACACTTTCAAAAGGTTCCACCAATAGCCCCTGTTTGAATGAAGGGCCCACTGCTCGGAATATGGTTTTCATGTCTATGGCCTCATTATCAAATCCATGTTCACCGTTATTAAACTGGAACTTTGCATACTAGAGAAAGTAAAGAAAGTTTGGTTAGGATATTGTCTATGGTCATTAGATTTCTCATAAACCAATAGTCTTTAACTGTCTATGTAACTGGTCTTTAAATGTACACACCAGAAATTATTGAGTATACTGGTCAACAGTGGTAGCTAATCTGCGGTTCACCTATCCTTCTGTGTGGAGATGTTTAAAATATACAATGAGGAAAAGATGTGACAAGGGTGGCACAGTGGCGTAGTGGTCAGCGCTTGTGCCTTGCAGCACTGGAGGTTCCTGGTTCGAATTCCGGACAGGTGACTATCTGCAAGGAGTTTGCATGTTCTTCCTGTGCTTGTGTGGGTTTCCTCCGGGTACTCTGGTTTTCTTTCCACACTCCAAAGACATGCTGGTAGGTTAATTGGCTCCTGTCTAAATTGGCCCTAGTATATGTTTGCATGCATGTGAGAGAGGGACCTTAGATTGTAAGCTCCTTGAGGGTAGGGACTGATGTGAATGTGTGCAGTGTAAATTTGATGTTTGAACCTGATGAAGGGACCCTGCGTGGCCCCGAAAGTGCTTGTCTTCACTTTTGACGATTTGTTCAAAAAAAAGGAACATTTGGTGATCCTGAAATAGTTTTTTTGGTGAGCTGGTGACATTCTTCACGACCAATGTGTGTAAATTGTAAATTGCAGTAATAATAATCAGCTTTTATTCAGCAGTAAAAGTTGCACTAAATTCTGCAATAAACAATCATGTAATCATATGAGGGCTCTCTACACAGATCCCGTCTGTTAGCTCAGGTCCCCATTCACCCACAGGCTCTGAGGCCAGGGTATGGACAAAAGAACACAGGACCACATTGAAGGGTGTGCTCAGTTATGTTTTTCTCTCTATTAACTGATGGCAGGTGGGAGTTAGTGAGGGTTGTTATGCTCTACTGATAACCTGACCATCTTGTTTGACATTTCAGTTCTGGAGTTGTGTTTATCCAGCAAAACGATTGGACCCAGCAAGCGCTAAGGACATTCTCTCCAGCACTCCTCAGGCCCAAACTGGCCCCCTAGCTGATCTGGGCCTAGCTATATATCTGCAGCTGAGAAACAATAGCAGAGAAAAGGTCTGAAATCCAGTAAGCACCTAGACAGCAATCTTACACTTCACCTGCTTAAAGTGGACCCTTACCCCCTTTCACTATAAATCACATAAGCATTCAGCTCTGCATGCTGATATGAAATCATCTCACATTTATTAGTTAAACAAACATATTTTTATTTTACTTACAATTTTCTTTTTTTCCACTTCCTGGTCTACTTTGGCACAAATGATGTAATTGTGCCCAAGTGTTGCATCCTGGGAAGGTTTCATCAGCAGTGCATTGCTGGGAAGTCTCATCTGTAATCTCACGAGATCTCAGGGAAAGGCATTTTCCTCTCCTGAGATGATGTGCATGTTCACATGTCCTAGTCATATGTGCCAGAGTTCCAGGAAGTAAAGGGAGATCTAGTAACCTGCCCATTGTTAAAATGGCCACTGCCAGAAGAATGGGGAAGAAAAGAAAAATAAGGTATGCAAAGAATAAAAAGTGGAAATGATCTAGAAGTAGCTGTTTGTTACTGTACATGCATGTTTACTGTATTGCTGGCCCCTGCAATAGCACAAACGTACCTCATTTGGCTACTCCATGCAGCTTATCACATTTATTAGTTAAACAAACATATTTTTATTTTACTTACAATTTTCTTTTTTTCCACTTCCTGGTCTACTTTGGCACAAATGATGTAATTGTGCCCAAGTGTTGCATCCTGGGAAGGTTTCATCAGCAGTGCATTGCTGGGAAGTCTCATCTGTAATCTCACGAGATCTCAGGGAAAGGCATTTTCCTCTCCTGAGATGATGTGCATGTTCACATGTCCTAGTCATATGTGCCAGAGTTCCAGGAAGTAAAGGGAGATCTAGTAACCTGCCCATTGTTAAAATGGCCACTGCCAGAAGAATGGGGAAGAAAAGAAAAATAAGGTATGCAAAGAATAAAAAGTGGAAATGATCTAGAAGTAGCTGTTTGTTACTGTACATGCATGTTTACTGTATTGCTGGCCCCTGCAATAGCACAAACGTACCTCATTTGGCTACTCCATGCAGCTTTCCTTATGCTTGCTGGAGTAAAGAGAAGAAACCCTGTGTGAGCTCCAAGATGATCCTAGTTGGATCCTACACAAGGCTGAACATTCTGACTGTCCTCATGTAAAAGCACTGCTGCACTAGCAGCCAATTGCCAAGCACCCCCTTTCTACACAGGTGGAATAAGTTTCCCATACCTGAAAGTAATGGATATTTTTCTTTGTTGCTAGCAGCAAAACTGGGATGGTGAGAGCAGGGTCGTAGCAAGGGCGAGGCGACTGAGGATCTCGCCTCGGTCGCGGGGGGGCAGCACAGCACTGAGAAGTTGGGCGGCACAGCCTGCAGCTTCACCTCTGGATCCCTGCTGCTCTCCCCATCTGTATGGGCAGAGGCAGTGGGGTTCAGAGAAGTGAGGCGCTGCAACCGGCGTGGGGGCACAGCAGCATGGCCGAGTGGTGAGGAGAGAGAGAACCACTCAGCCAGGATCTGACATCTCTCCTCACCGCTCGGCCATGCTGCTGTGACAATGGCTCTCTCCTCCGCCCCACCGCCGGCTGCAGCGATTCACTTCTCCTCGGATCCTCGCTGCCTCTGCCCATACAGGCGGGGGAGAGCAGCGGGGATCCAGAGGAAAAAGTGCAGACTGTGCCGCCCCTCTGTGCGTGGCCGAGTGGCAGTGGATCGGTACATATCAGTGATATGTACCGATCCTCTGTGTGCAGAGCAAACACTGGAGTGATCAGCTGATCACTCCAGTGTTTGTAAATAACTGGGAACACATAGTACTATGTTGAAACAATCATGTAGCGCTACGCAACCCCTAAATAAATGCATAAATTGAATAAATAACAGTAGGTGACCATAAAGTAACAAATAAACAATATAGAACGTGATCAACAAAATAGGAGATCACTATACATATTCTTATAAGCAGTGCAAAAGATTAAGGTAGTGATCCAAAGTATAACAAATCAGTGAAGTGATTCAGTGCCTAGAAAGTCCATTAGGCAACATTTGATTGAGGCTAATTGGCCTTCTGTGTGGCAGCTTCCAGAACTTGAATTGCTACCCCCCCCCCCTTTTTTGTTACCTATTCTATTAGCGCAGATTAATTTCTCTCATTACATAGTACTATGTGTCCCCAGTTATGAATGAACAGGAAGTGCTTTATATCACTTCCTGTTCATTCATGAGTTTCTCAGTGGGTAATAGCACTCAGTACAGAGGCTTCTCCCTATTCAGAAACTGGTTGATAGAAAATATTTTCTGAATGAATGGGAAGCATCTATACTTTCCATTCATTTAGAACAGAGAATGCAGATAAAGAGATTGAGGACTCAATTTATTTTTCTATTTTAAAAGGGAAATATCAGGTGGCTGTTTAGACCCCTAATATTTTCTGAAACACCCCCCAACAGTAAAAAAAAAAAAAAAATGTACAATATAGATAAAAATAATAAAAAACAAATAAAAAACAATAAACAAGTTTTTAAAAAACATCCTGGAGGCGGGGCGCATGACATCACATGATGCCGCACGTGCGCAGCGCTGGGTAAGGTCACACACCTGTTGGGGGGGCACTTTTTTTGTTCCTGCCTCGAGCGCAAAAGGAGCTAGCTACTGCTCTGGGTGAGAGCGACAAGAAAGTGATTATGAGCTATTGCTAATTGTAACTTGCAAGTTGCTCTCACAGTATCCACCAAAACAAAAGATCCAATTCAGTGGCTTTTATTTTTGAAACTGAGTGGAAGAATTCAAAAGTGGAGATGTTAATTTCTAAACATGCAATTGGTAATTGACAGCTGGATATGTTTTTTTGGTGGTTCTGTAGATCCTTATCTAGAAATGTACACTGTTCAAAATGTCATTTTTTTCTGATGTACACAATGCACACCCTTAAACACTTTCGCTGCCAATGCGTTTTTTGCACACATGTTATAAGCCACATTTTAGGAATGAAAATTACTTAAATCCCCTGCGAGGTATATATTTCCTGAACACATGGACTCTGTAGAATAAAATGGAGGCAGTTGCAAATTTTTGCATTGAATGATATTAGCACAACTCTTTATCAAACTCCAAATTTCAGTAAAAATACACTTATGGTCATTTTAGTGCACAAAAACACAATGTAAGACCCATCTGTTGTAAAATATAAAAGATGAGGTTATGCCGAGTTAATAGATGCGCAAACTGTTAGCGCTATATAAATCCTGTATTATAATAATAATAATAGATACCAAGCATGCCAAGCTTTAAAATTGTGTGCACCCGTGAAACAGCAACCCCACATCACTGGTCCCCCCGGCAGGCCCCACGTCACTGGACCCCCCAGCCGCCCTCATGCTTGAATAGTTTGTTTCTCCCCTGGCTTCTTATTCCCGGGGAATGACAGCTGACAAGCTGGAAGTGATGCAATCAGCATTGCTTCTGGCTCCAATCAGCGAGGAGGAGATCAGCGAATGGAGGGGCAGCGGAGCCCAGGAAGCAAAGCAGGGGTGTCAGGCAGTGGGGGCACTCTTCACCAACCCATGGAAATGATCTGGCAGCAGCCCAGCCACACGAATCACTTCCAGTATAAAGCTGACAGTCGGGTTTACACAGGTATTGCCCCCAGGAGCCAGTTCACAGAGGCCCGCTGCCAGCGATTTACAGCATACGCCATTGGCAGTGAAAGGGTTTAAACAGATGTGTTATTTTATGGTAGTACCAAAACATTCACAGTATCTTACCGCATGAATGACATAACCAGGATCTCCATATAAGACTAGTGGACCAATTCTGTCATTTTTCGAGTAATGCAGCCTTTCTGGAAATTCTTCCTTCTTGTAGACATGTAGTTTAGGGTGCGCACCTTTCAGGACCTGATAGACTTTTTCTAGATTTCCTTCCTTAGGGAACATAAGTCCAGATGGTCCATAATCCACCAAGTGAAACTCAAGGTCAGAGAAGTTAAAGCCTGGAATATTTCTAAGCACAATCTCATCTGGACCTTTCTGAACGGTAGCCATTCCGTGGTCTGCTATGATGATAATATTAAGCCTTGATTCCAGGTCATAGAACTTTACCCGACTTCGTATGTAACCAACCATGCGATCCACTTGACTGACAATGTCTTTACGTTCCTGAGTTTCTGGTCCATACCTGTGTCCTGTAACATCTGGTTCTCCAAAGTATAGAGCCACAAAGTCCAGATCTTCTTCAGTGAACCACTTCATCACCGTTTCTACATTTTCTTCCCACTCTGTCTCATTGCTATAGTTGTGACCAGTACGCTCCACCTTTTTCACATTTACAGTTTCGCCTCTGTAAGTTGCATTGCCACCCGGAAAAAAGAGCGATCCAGTTTTCAGCCCCTGTCAGAAGAAACTCACTAATTAGCGATTAATTGAAACCAAATGAAGCATAAACAGTAAAGTCATCCAACCACAAAGCAAAGGTAAGTAAGCAAAGCAAATAGCCTTACTGATTCATCTTTGCTTGCTCTACCTTAAAGCAGGTTTTTAACTATGGAAGGATGTACAGTACCTTCCATCAAATAGTTTTTTGCATGCATTACAAGATTGGTTTAATAGCAATCCAAACTAATTTGGACAAAACCAGATCTGACCCAGATTTCTTTCATCCTCAAGGGACAAATATTCTGACCTCCGGTCAGACAAAGCACAAGTTAGTACAGCTCTGTTTTTAATAATATATATTTAAATATGTGTGTTTTTAAATAGAAGCAGGTTAAAGTGACACTAAAATTAGAAGTTAAATCTTAAAAATACATTCAAGTACCTTAATTATTAGCAAAAATGTATCTTATGTGTGTATCACTCGGCTGTAGATCCTCAAATCATCTCTGAATTGGTGCTGACACTGTCCTTCCTTCTGGAGGGGGGCTACTTTTGTTCCCAAATATTTTTAATTTTTTATTATTTTTTATAAACTTTTTTATTTTTTTATATTTCTTTTTATTTATTAATTCATTTTTTATTAAATATTTTAATTTTTTACTTTACTTTTAGGGGCTTTGGGGAAATATTAGGGGTCTGACCCCTAATATTTCCCTTTTAAAATAGAAAAAGAGATTGAGGACACAGAGTCCTCAATCTCTTTTTCTGTATCCCCTGGTATCAATGAACATGAATCCTCTATACTGAGTGTTCCTGTTCATTCATAACTTGAGAACATTGTGTGTTTACTATAACCACAATCATGAATGAACAGGAGGGGATGTAGATCACTCCCATTCATTCATAATTGAGGATATAGTAACCATACCACGTCCTCAATTATTTACAAACACTCAGAGTTCACTGATCACTGAGTGTTTGTACACGCTCTGCATCCTGACACGCTGTCACAGAAGGCTAAGTGAGCGGTGGAGGGAGGAGAGCTCCTGTGACAGTGCTGTCTGTCTCCGCCCACACACCGCTCTGCCGCACTGTCATAGGAGGCTGAACGGTGTGGGAGGAGAGACGCCGGCCGCTCACATCGCTGTCCTCCCACAGCGCTCGGCCGACTGTCACACTTTCTCTCCTCCCTGCTGGGACACAGAGCAGCGCCCAGCGGGGACGAGAGAAAGAATGGATGCGCCGCTGCATCGGCAGGAAAATGGCACTTTGGGCATTTAGCCAAAAGTGCAATTTTCGGCCGATATGTTTGGGCGGCCTATATATCGGTGCATCCCTAGTTATTACTGGAGTGCCCCAGGTCAAAAGTTATGGAGTTTGGGAACTAGTTATGTTAACAGGGTTATTTACAGGACACTCTATGTGGATTTTGCCTAATAGTTTTACAAGCCTCTTGGATCTGAGCTATTAGTGTTTTGCCTGCTAAGTGCTTTTACGACATGCCATTAAGAGTTTGCCCATAAAACAGCCATTGAACAGGCCTTATCAAACATGTTTGACAGATCTCTTTGGGCAAGCAGGGCTAAATCAAGAGTCGGGGAGCCCGCGCTCATTGTCTGCAGCCTGCTGGTCCAGCTTCCTCATCCATCGTCCTCCATGACCCAGGGCTGGCTGCCTCAATCCCTGCTGGCTGCCTCTCTCCCCTCTATGGTTTTTAGGTGCCCCCGCTCTTCTGGAGGACCTGGGACCACAGCAAATTACAAATTACTCCGCATGAACAGTGAGACAGAAAACGCTGTGCTCACAGTGTTCCCATCCCAGGTGTCACAGAATATCCAGCACAATGCTGCACTAGAACTCCTGTATATTGGAGGGGACAGGTTACATAAAGAGAACCTGTCACCTCCAAATGCTATCACACAAAAGTTAAGTTTAAAAAAAAAGTGATAAAAAGTAAAAAATTATAAATAAAAATGTTAAAAAATTGATAAAAAGTAAAAAATAATCAAAATGGTAAAAAAAGTAAAAGATAATAAAATGTAAAAAAAGTTAAAAAAAAATAATAGTGAGAAAAATTATAAACATAAATAATGTAAAAAAAAAGTTAAACCAGCCTTGCCGCCCCCATCATCTGCTTGCAAATAAACACATGCATAGGGCATTGTGTGTGCTGCCCCCATTCCACTGTGTGCCATATTGTGGTAGTCGGGCAGCAGCGCTCTCTAACACGCACAATGTGCATTAAAAGGCAAGTTCACTTTCCCAAGTAATTTGGAAAAATGGAATTACCCTCTCAAATCTGCCCCCTCTCCCCTTCCATGCTATACTTACCTTTCGGCAAACGGTCCTTACAAGTACACCTTTAGTCCTTTGACAAGTAGTTTTTTTTTTTTTTATCCATGTCATTGGTCAGTTCCACCTCACTGTTACTTGGCTTTTGGCTCTGAAATAATACACTCTAATGTTTCTTTCAGGATAAAACCTGCCTCGTCTCTCCCTCTTAAGCTGCGTCTCTGCCCTCAAAGCTGCGTTAAAAGGCAGACCCTCTCAAGGGCAACACACTGCACGGTATTTTTTATTTATACATGTCTCCCATGGCAGTTCCCAGTTCCCCATGCTGTTTTTTTGACCATCCAATGTCTATTAGTCTTGAAAATAGCCAGAATTGGTTATCAGTATTTGGCTCCTACAGTCTTCAATGGAGTTCAATGTTAGGTTCATGTTTTTCGGACTTCACACATGATTCAATGACTAACCACCCCCATCAACATTGGATTGATGTCAATGTCATAAAAGCAAATTTCAATAATGCTTTTAAATATCTGAAAGCTGGATTTGTTCTGTAATGTTGAAAATGTTCTAATGAGTGCCTGTCACCACCAATACATGGCAGTAAAGAGCAGTTCTAAGTTCCAAACACACTTCAGAGGAAAAGAGAAAACTAGCCGTTGAGATCTGCAAATCAGATGTTATTTTGTGTGGATCAGTAAACTGTTCTTTTGTACATATAACACAATAAAACCTCACTTAAAAAAGGAGTTCAATGCCGAACTCAAACTACTTATTTACCTGTCTTTGAGCTGTAATCCATATAGGGAGGGTGCCATTGTCCCACCATTCAGAAATGCCCTGCGTTGAAAGATATGATGCCTTTTGTCCATTGCTAACATTGAAAAACAGGTTATGTATAACGCCATGGTTCTCAATATATCGTCCTGCAATGAAAGAGGAAAACAAAATTGTGTTTGTTGTTTTGAAAGGGCATTTCTATACACTTTGCATTTAATATGATCTATTCCTCCCCCTTTTGTTAGATACCTATCAACATTAACCACCTCAGGATTCGAGCATTTTCTTGATTTTTTTCAACACACATGCTAAAATCTGGATTTTTGGATAGAAATTACTTTAAACCCCCCAAACAATGTTATATATGTTTTGAAAGCAGAGGTCCTGTAGAATAATTTATTACATTGTGCCCGTGGTCCGGTCTGGTGCGATCAAAATAGTGCTTACAGCATTTTGATCACACCGGACCGGACCGCAGGCACAATGTGCCTTGCGATGCTGTGTGGATGATCGCATTGCAGCCGGAGGGCTTAGCTACAGTGCTATTCACTTAAATGGCCCGCCACACCCCCTCCTGCCCTGCAAAAAAGTGAGCCGGCCGCAGTACAATGCAGTGCGTTCTGGCCAGAATCAGGCCGGAACGCACTGCATCTGGTGTGAACGTACCCTCGGGGGCTAACAAGCCTGATTATAACTGTTCTGCTGCTGGGGTCTTTTTCACTGCTACAAACTCTGGAGTATCTTAATTCTTATAGTAAAGTCCCAGCTTGTGCTCTTTGTCCCTAGTAAATGGGCCTAAGCTTGCTGTTTAAAATGATCCTGCTGCTTGCCACTTTTACATTGCTATGTCATCTGTGGTCTCTTGCAGTAAAACACTGGTCTGTACTTTTGTGTACAGTACGTTTAAGCAAAATCTTCCACATTAAAAATGCTGCACTTTTTTTATTATACCTTTTAGCTTGGGGGTGATGACAGCTCAAAGGGCTGCCTTTTTTGCACTGCTAGAAAAGCTTGGCCAAATAATAAAGAAAAAATAAACATAAATTGAAAATTGAAATAAATATGAATATAAAAGTACAAAAATAAAAACTATCAAATATAATATAAAATGTATTATATATTATATATAATAATACAAGGGTGAGTCAAAAATTAT